CGAAACTGCCTCTGCCAGAGCTTTGTCTGGTGTCCGGATCCCAGAGACTTTGGGGGTGTTGTCTGAGCTCTGCCAAGGAGGGGGAACCGCGATGGAGCCGGAATGTCAACACTCGGGCCTGTGACACAGCTGGGGGGTGGGGTGCCGGGGCAAGCAGGCTCCCACTGCCCTCCCCGCAGCGACCAAGCCGGAGCCCACGCTCACCGCCCCGCGGCCTCCCCGTATTTATTGTCAAGCAGAATCTGATCCGGGTCAGTGGTGACTTGTTCTCTCTTTCTTACCCTTTCTCCGCGGAATTGCAAGAGCCTTAGAAGGAGGCCTGCGGGTCTGAGCAGCTGCCATGGCAAACCCCGGCGAGCAGATCCTTAGCTGGCGGCCGTGCTGAGCTCGGACGGTCCAGGAGCTGCGCGTGGTTTGAACACAACAGTTAAAATGCTGGGGGCGCTGGGGGCCGGGGTCCTGCCCGGGCTCGGTCCACGAGGGCACGAGCCTCCCGAGCCAACCCTGGCGCGGCCGAGGCTTCTGCTCTGCGGCTTGACCCGTTGGGGGAACTGGTCCCATCGGCTTTTTCCTCTCCCGATTCCCAGGGCCATTTCATTCTGGTCAGACTTGAACGTCCGGGAAGGACAGTTACTTGAATGACCAGAGATGGCTTCGTGAAAATCATCTTCTTAGCTCTTTGAATTCTTACAGGGATTAAGAAACACGTGGAAGTCTATGAACTGTCCATTTTTAGATCTCGACTCCTTAGACAGAAAGACATTTTTCATGTTTATCGAGTTAATTTCGAAGAAATAGTAAATCCCAAATGCATGTTTTCGCTGGTCGTTACTTTGAAAGGGCAGCTGGTGAAGTTCTGAGTCATTGAATTTAAAAATCATCTATCAGGTTGTCCCTTGGATGAGTGGAGGTTTCTAGAGACGAGAGACATAGATTTTCCCCGATGAAGGAACGAGCTGAGGTTTTTCTTTTTTAGACTGTTTATGGGGGCGGGGGCACCTCCAGTTTCTCAAACTCTCTCTCTGTCCTTTTTATTTTGATTTTATTATCATTTTTAGCCTTCTCTTTTTATTCCGAATGCTCGGGGAGGGGGCGAGAGGCTTGGGGTCGGTGCTAGTAGTTTTCTCTCGGTGGGGAAACGAGTCTATGCCAAAGATGTGGTTTTGATTTCATCGTGGCTTCGAACTGCGGAGCGCGGGGCCGAGGGCCAGGCGGTGGGCACGTGGCAGGAGCTGCGGAGGTGGCCACGTGTGTTCTTGACAGGTCCCGACGTCCCGGAGCCGGGCGCGGCTCTGCATTTGTGCTGTGACGTGCCACATGGGCCCCCGGGCGACCCGCCCTGGGTCCCCTCCGGCCGACGGGCTGGGCCTCAGGCTAAGGGGTGCTTGCTTTGCTGCGACATCAAGCCTTCATCATGTCAGGCTCCTCGACTCTCCACAATAACGTGGGAATTGTGAGGGGTGCATTCCGTCTCGGTCCATCTGCCGGCCGACATTAAGAGGGTCGCCCAAAGAGGACACTTTGCACCCCACGGCATGTGCCGAGGGGGACGCTGGCATCGGCCTGGGGCTTCGGTTTTCGTCCTGTCGTCCATGAAGCTGAAACAGCATCGTCGAGCAGACTAGTCAGGATCGAATCTTAAATAAGAGATGTTAAAACAATCAGGACACTAACAGGCTGACACGGTTTGCGTCGTAACAGGAACAGCCTGTCTCCGTACGCCCGTGCGTGTCGCCAGCGGCGAGGTCACTGGTCACTCACCTTCGCAGCTAGCATTGGGTGGGAGGTCAGCCTCAAGGACACTCGCGGCTGGCCGGACACACCGCACACCCCGGCGCGGCTCACCTTGGGGTAAAGACCACAGAGGCCGGGCACGTCCATCGTTGCGTAAGGAGGCGGCAAGGTGCCCCTCAAAGCTCTCTGGCCTACGCCGCAGGGCTGGTGTTTTGCTTTTTGTTGGGGGCTTTGTCACCGGCAGAAGCGGTGCTGGGTTCCTGCGGGCGGCCGCTTTGGGAAGTAATTCTCAAGAGTTTCAGCCTTCAGATGTCCGGTGACCCCGGCGCTTGCAGACACCTACCCTGGCATCGCGTGGTCCCCAGCCGGGGCGGCCTCACCCCTCCAAGGGCCCGGTCAGGAGTCAGAGGAGCCCGGACACCTGTCACGGCTGCCGCTCCGCCCGGTGGGAGCGTGGCCTGGGGGCCACCGGGCGTTTCCTGTGACTGCGGCCGTGCCACGCGTCGAGAAGTTTGGGGTGGTCCACGGCCCTGACACTACTGCTCTTCGTGCCCCGCGGGAGGGTGACGTGCAGGCCAGCTGCCCCGGACGCTGGGGACCAAACAGGACGGAAAGGGAGCTCTCAGTGTTGGAAGCGTGGGCGCACGTTCGCCGCGTGCCCTCCAAAGGCCCTCGGAGCATGGGGGCTGTGGGGACTCAGGGACAGATGTCCTTTCTGGCCATTTCTGCCGCGAGGGACAGTAGAGCCTTTGTCTCTCGTGCGGGAAGGTGCCGGATCGATCGTCTCGGGTGACCAGCGGCCTGGACGCACTTGCGTCAGAGTTTAACCGCGGGGTTTTTCGGAGCGACCTGGACATTTCACTACTTTTCCTTCCTTTAAAGATGCGGGTGAATTGCTGACTTTTAGTCAAACTCAGTAAGGTGGAAGATGGACTATTTTCTGTTGAGCTTTGCTACTTGGAGAGAATGTCTTCAGAGCGTGTGATTCAGGGGCCTAGAGAAGTCAAAAGAAATAAAGCTTCTGCCATCGCTATTGTCCTCGTTTGTTTTTTTAAGGAGAAGCCCAAAGGAGCAGAAGTCGGGCACCCTGCTTCTAGAAGGTGGGGACCGGGCCCTCCGGCCCTGAGCCTCTCCGCCACACCTGGTTGGTGTGCTTCCTCGCGAGGCGGGTGGTGAATGCTGACCCCAGGTGTGCCACCGTTCAGGCAGGTGTGGAGAATTCAGAAGCAGCCTCTTTACCCGAGGGCCGTTTAAATTCTCTGCAGTTTGAGGGTTTGAGCCACTGCGAACTTTTCTTCGATGCCGCGGAGACTTGCCAGTGGGGTGTTCGGTGGGAGACGTTTGCTGGTTAGTCGGAGACCGTCTTCATTTTACAAGCAGGCAGGACAGACTCCCTAGGGCGACGGCCGCGGTCAGGTGTGTCCGCTTGTCAGGACACATGTTCCTGCTGCCCCACTGGCCGCACCCCGAAAGGCCCCCAGATCAGCACAGCTAGGACGGTGCGGAGTGATGGCGTTCCCTGGGGGCTACGACATCGCTGCACAGTGCACATTGCCTAGAGTGTCTTTTACATCAGAGATGAGTTTCCTGGGAACACCAACAGGCTCCCAGCCGCCGGGCTGGGTGGGATGCGGGAGGCAGGGTGCAGGTGCAGAGCCCCAAGCCCGCCTCGCCGAGCGGCCCCGGACGGCACCCGCTACACCGGCGTCGATGCGTTAAGGACCAGAAACCACAGCTTCAAAGAGTTTGTGTTTAAAGAGCTGGACCTGTTTTGTTTTCCTGAGCCATCTTCCTTTTTTAAAAAAGCAAAATCCCGGCTTTCTGTTCCTTTGACCTTTGGATCCAGTTCTTAGTTCTAGGTCAACACAGGAGTCAGGCCCTCAGCGCCCGCCCCCTCTGGCCCCCGACGGAGCCCCCGGCTCTGCCCCCTGCTGCATTCCGGCCGGGACCCCCAGCCTGCCGGTGTCAGGCCGGGGCCTTCCTGCAGCCTAAGCCTGGGTGTCTCTGAGGCGGCCTTGCCATCTGCCACCAGCACCCTGCTGGTGAGGACGGCCTACAAATGCCCTCGGGTAAAGCGTCAGGGTGCAGTTATTACAGGAACCGTGGAAACACAGATGCCCCAGGGCACCTGGAACCGCCATCGGACACTAAGACGCCACGTCTGTGCCACCGCCACCGTCACGGTGACGGCCAGCAAGCTCGTGGCAGGTGACGCGGGCCAGCCTGGGAAGGAGCCTGACCCAGTGTGCCCCGCCTGCATTCGAGAAAGTCTGAGATGGGTGACGAAAGGCTTCGGTGATTCCCTCCTCCCCGAAGAGGGCGTGGGCGGGTGATCTGAGGGAGGGTCTTCCACTTCCAGAAGATTCTCACGGCCTCCATCACTCATTATTTTTTAAGAGAATGCTGACCGGCCCTTCAGCCTGTGGCAGCGTGGAAGGCATCTGTGTGGGTGCGGATGGTTCCATAGGGTCAAGGAGCCCTCTCCGTGGGTGTCAATCAGGCAGGGAGCCAACTGGGAGGAGGCTCCGCCGTAGAGCAGGTCCTTCGTCACTCGGCGCGGTGGCACCTGCCGGGGAGGGAAGTCGCTGGGTGCGGTGGCACCTGCCGAGGAGGGAAGGCCACCACCGGTGGCCGCAGTGGACCAGTGAGCACTTTTAGATGTAAGCTGCGATTCTATGTGGGAAGCGCATCTTCCCACAGGTATGGTGTCAAGTTCCCTAAGAGCCCAGGATTACGGCAAATGACGTTATTGAAGCTAGAAATAAATACAAGTATATTGTGTAAAGTAAACCAGTAAGTATCTGGTTTCATATTTTCCCTGCTTACTCTGCTGGGTCAGCCAGATTATGTCGTTCCGATGAATGACCTTTCTTCCCGGATGAGCCATGTAACGGCTGAAACCTGCTGGGGACCCTGGGAGCTCCCTGGGCGAAGCGCGGTCAGTGTGACCTGTGGTTCCGCAGTGACCGCACAGGACCTGGAGGAGTTTGGGTGACCCGCGTGCCTGCCTCTGTGTCAAGCAGGCACCTGTTGCACAGTCTGCATTCAGTGGAGTCGAGGTGATCTGAAGGCCCCCCAAAAGTTATCTCTGGTCCAAAACCTTAGCACGTCTTTGCACACTGCCTCTCGGCAGTGTAGGGGTTGAAGTCGTCAACTGTCACAGCACACCTTCAGGCGTGCAACGCGTCCGCCGTTTTACAAATTCAGAGGCCCTTCCCATTAATCCCCTTTGCCAATCTTTGTCTGTTCAGGCATAAACCAGCACCATGGACTGGGGGACCCTGCACGCCTTCCTCGGGGGCGTGAACAAGCACTCCACCAGCATCGGGAAGATCTGGCTCACCGTCCTCTTCATCTTCCGCGTCATGATCCTCGTGGTGGCCGCGAAGGAGGTGTGGGGTGACGAGCAGGAAGACTTCGTGTGCAACACGCTGCAGCCGGGCTGCAAGAACGTCTGCTACGACCACTTCTTCCCGGTGTCCCACATCCGGCTCTGGGCGCTGCAGCTCATCTTCGTGTCCACGCCCGCCCTGCTGGTGGCCATGCACGTGGCCTACCACAGGCAGGAGGCGGCCCGCAGGTTTCGGCGAGGAGAGAAGAGAAACGAGTTCAAGGACCTGGAGGACATTAAGAGGCAGAAGGTCCGCATCGAGGGCGCCCTGTGGTGGACCTACACCAGCAGCATCTTCTTCCGGATCGTCTTCGAGGCCGCCTTCATGTACGTCTTCTACTTCCTGTACAACGGGTACCACCTGCCCTGGGTGCTCAAGTGCGGCATCGACCCCTGCCCCAACCTCGTGGACTGCTTCATCTCCAGGCCCACGGAGAAGACCGTCTTCACCATCTTTATGATCTCCGCGTCTGTGATCTGCGTGCTGCTGAACGTGGCCGAGCTGTGCTACCTGCTGCTGAGGGTGTGTTTCCACAAGTCGAGGAGCACACAGAGGCAGCGGGACCACCCCAACCACGCCCTGACGGAGCGCAAGCAGAACGAAGTGAACGAGCTCATCTCCGACAGCGGCCCAAACGCCGTCCCTGGTTTTCCGAGTTAGACGCTTCGGGGCGCGGCGAGCCAGGGCGGGGCAAACCCGTCTCCCCCGGAGGGGCCGACGCGGACCCGGTCCACATGCTGGGGACTGAGTCCTCGCCGGGGCTTTCCTGATGCTTAAGATGCTCGAGTCCACGTCTGCAGAACGACTGTGCCGCCACCGCGCGACGGAGCACGTGTGTGGCCCCGCTCCGGACGCGGGCAGATGACTCTGCTTTGGCGGCGCTGTCGCGCGTCTGTTTTAAGTGGATCGTCCGACGTGGGGGCATTTCCTGAACGCTTAAGGGCGTCGCCGTTGTCGATCAAGAACGGTTATCTAGAAACGGATACTCGTATTAGTAAAAGGTATTTTTGTAGGATTGGATGTGTTAGTTCTGACTTTGAATTTATATAAAATATTTTTATAATGACTGGTCTTTCTGACCCGGAAAGACAGGCGCAATTAGGTTTAGAATTATACCTAAGTATCTAAATTCTGAACTTACTCTGTCTTGTAAATATTGTCTTCTATGGTCTACTGACCCACGGGCGCACCGCCCCGACGCCCAGCAGACGGACGGCGTTCGCTGGACACTGCGCTGCTGCTTTGAGTGCAGACAGCTGTGTGGACGCGGGAAGCTCTTTAAAAACCAGCCTAACTGCATCCGCTGTGAATGTCTCGCCCCAATAAAGATGAGCCCCCCACTTCCCTTTCCGTGTGGTCTGGGTTTCTGCTCCATCAGGGCCACCGTGCCGTCAGCCCCAGGGGTTTTAAGCAGAGCCGGGCGCTTCTCCTGGGGAGGCTGCGGGTTCCCGGGTGGACTCGCCCCAGAGTTCATCAGAGACTTCATGGACCGTGAGCAGACTCCAGCTCGGTGGGCCACCAAGCCCTCTGCTGGGGGGTGGTGGGGGGCTGCTCAGGACATGGGGGAGTCCTCTGCATCCGTACAGCCTCGGGAGGGACGAGGTGGGGAATCTGCCAGGCCGTCAGCCCCTCCTGAACGCAGCCCTCATCGGCTGAGCCCTTCAGTGCGCGGTGGCCGAGCAAAGCGCCCCAGCCTCACAGCACAGACGAGGGAACCAATCGCCCTCCCCAGGAGCTTCCGCGTCGAACACGGGTGCCTTTAGGTGGGTGTCGGTGGGTGGGCGCAGACCGGTCCCTCCAGACCATAATACTCGCATGCAGCTGACACAGCACGTGCCATGCCTGGGGACACTTGGTGACCCACAGATGCACACGAGAGCTTGACACAGCCTCTCGGGAAAAACGGAAAAGTCGTTCTCATTTTCCTCAGGGTCCAAAGCAAGTTCCAGATGGGCCATTTCATCCATAAAATTTTAGTGTTGGTCGATCAAACGCAAGAACTACCCTTTTAAAACAAAACCACAACCCCGTCCCCCCGACCGGGTGGGGCACAGACGAAGCCCCTGCTGGAGGGAGGGGTCTGAAGGCCTCGGTAGTGGCCCTAATCCCGGGGGAGAGGGGCTGCCTCCCGCCTGCTCTTCCAACTCCGTCCCCTCTGACCCGACCCTCCTGTTTGCTCTTCACCGACCCGAGCGTCCCTCACTCTGGAGCTCCCTCCGCACAGGCCCGTCAAGCCCCCACACCTGCCGCTCGCCACCTGCATCTCGGCCCCTCACTCTGGACTCGCCCTCCCCACGGAGCCCCAGCCACCGTCGGTCCGGGTGGCACTCTGAACACCAAGCCCGGTGGCCTCTTCTCCGTGGTCATCTTAAAACTCTGCGGCCTTTCCCTGGATCCCAGGACACTGCCCAGCCTCACCGTGGGTCTTGCCTCCCCCCCCGCAGCTTGGGCTCGCGTGCTGGCTTCTCTCCCTCTCCCCGTCCCCGGGTCCGTCCCTGGGGTGGGACTGTGCCTCTCCCCACCGACGCTGCCTTAGGAGACAGCAGCCCCACTGCGCTGAGGCTCGAAGCTTGAGAGGGTGAGTCACCGTCCCCGGTTCCAGAGCTGGCACGTGGCAGAGCCAGGGCTCCGGCCAGGTCCGGCCGCCCCGATGTTGGTGGCTTAACCCCGAGGGTACGTGTGAGAGACCCCCGCGGCTGTCGCTCAGCTCCGGGAAGCACCTGTTCACGCCTATTCTCCGCCCCCAGCTCATCCCCCAGGCTGGAATATTCTGAGGCAAACCCAGACACACCATCTGAAACATTTCAATGCGAATCCTTTAAGAGCACAGACGAGCCTTTGAAAACAAAGGCACGATGCCGCCACACCGCTGAAAAGATCCGGTCTGTGCTCATGATTCCCCAATTGGCCTATAAATGTTTTGTTTTGTTTTTTTTTAACTGAAACTTGTTATCTTGAGAAAATTATAGATTCGTGAGTAGGTATAAGAAACAGTGCAGGGATCCCACATCTTCCCCCACAGGTGACACCTTGCAGAGCTGACAGGATAAGATCTCAGCCGGCGTAATGACATCGGCACGAGAGGACACAGGACAGGGCCCCTCTGCGCCCCGTCCTGCTGCCCCGCCCCGGCCACCACCCATCTGCCACCACGGCTGTCATCTTACACTCCAAGGACAGCAGGTGACGGAGTGGGCAGTCTTTAGCCTGTGGGGACCGTGTTTCCCCCTTGGCCACGTCTCTGGCCGTCGTGCGTGCCCTGGCTCGTTCCTTTTTATTGCCGAGTGACGTTCCAGGCTGTGGACGGCCCACAGCGGGTGGCCACTCACCCACGAGGGGCGTGGGGCCGTCTCCTGCCGGGGGCTGACACAGAAGCACATGGACACTGCACACGGGGCCACGCTTCTCTGTGACAGGTGTTCGAGAACCCAGCTGCCCGGCCGAATGGCAGCTGCGCACTGCATTTCTTTAAGGAGCTGTGACTTGTTTTCCAGAGCAGCTGCGCCAGACGCTCCCACCGGCCACGTCGGAGGGACCGAGCGTCCTCGATCTCACCAGCACCGCGTCCTCACTGCCTGTCGTCTTGGCCGCTTATCTTGCGTCTGCCCAAAGGCTCGTAAGGTCGAACCTCTTTGCGTGTGCTCATTTGCCATCTCTGTCTCGTCCTCATGTCTTTTGCCCATTTTCTGATCGATCGATTGTCTTTCCACTGTCGAGTCTGGGAGCTCCTCGTCTATTCTAGCTACCGGTCCTCGGTCAGACATATGTGGTCCACTAATATTCTTTTTCTACTCTGTCGCTTTTCTGTTTACCTTCCTAATGGGGTCTTTTGCAGAGTGCTACTTTTTCATTTGAACGAAATCCAACGGATCAGTTTTTTCTCCTCTATGCATTGTGGTTTTGGAATCAAGCCCAAGGACTCCGAAGAATTTCTAAATCCTGAAGAATTTCTTCTGTGTTTTTTCTAAAAGCTGCGTGATTTTTACGCGTTACACCGAAGTCTGTGGTCCATTTCGTGTGCGTTTTTATAAAAGGTCTGGACTTGAGGTTCGCTTTTTTTCTTGCCCGTCGACGTCCCGTTGCCCCGGCATTGGATAAATCGCGCGTTCCTCCATCCATGGAATCGCTTTCGCGCCTTCGTCAGAAACCAGCCGGGCGCATTTGGGGGGCCGCTCCTGGGTTCCCTGTTCCATCCCACCGATCTGCAGGTCCATCCGTCCACCCTGCTGGGTTTTTGACAAGAACGGCTGTAAACCCGTATGTCAGTTTTTGTAACATCTTTAAACATCTTTAAAAGATGTTTTGTAACATCTTTTGTAACAGAAAATCCACATCTTTACTATGTGAAACCCTCCTGTCCATAGACACAGCGTGTCACTCTGTTCATTTATACCTTCCTCCTTCCGTTTCTCTCATCGGCATCGCGTGGTTTTCAGTGCACACGTCGGAAAAGGTTTCGTGAGATTTTCTTCCGCGTGTTTCACTTTCTCCAAGTGGTTGCGAACAGCCCCGCACTTTAATTTCGTTGACGTGCTGGTCATCCTGTGATCTTGCTGAACTCGCTATCAGTTCCAGATTTTTGAAGGTTCCTGGGGATTTTCTGCGTGGACGATCACATCCTCTGCGAACGGGGATGGTTTTGTTTCTTCTTGGATGATCTGTGTGTCTTTTCTTGCCGTGTGTCACACTGGCTGGAACTTGCAGTGCTGGACTGTGGAGCACGGGCGGAGAACGGGGAGGCCTGATCCGCTCCTGGCCATGAGGGGAAAGGGGTCAGTCTGGTGTGACCCGCGGGCTGCCGTGGCTGCTCCTCACCGAACAGAGGAGAACGTCCTTTGTTCCTGGTTTTCTGAGCGGTATTTATTTTTTTATCTCGAATGGGCGTTGGATTTTGTGAGGAAAAAAAAAAAGTGTTGCGTTAACTGGTTTGATCGCGCGACGTTTCTTCTTCAGCCCGTGGACGTGGTGGGTGACACCGACTGCCTGTCACACAGGGAGCCAGGCTCGCACTCCTGGGACGAACTGCCCATGGTCACGACACCTGTCTTTTCACTGGTGTATTGAGACCATTTAAGGCTTAACTCTGCCATTTTGTTTTTTCTGTTTGCTGTGTCTGCTTTTTTTAATTTCTAGGGTTTTTTCCGGCCTTCCTGTTATTTGCGTAAATGTTTTGTTTTGTTTTTTTTCCATTCTTATTTATCTCATGCTTTTGTGCGGATTGTTGCATATCATTTTTAGTGGTTGTTCTGGGTATTACACTATATATGTATATTTTCGTAGTCTACTACTACTCTCATTTTTAAAAGTCTGAGCGAACTGTAGGCACCCACCTGGCTGCGTCTTCCAACCTTCTCTGCTCAGAATCATCTTAAGCATTTTGTCTGCACATTCAAGACCACGTCAGACAGTGTTATTTTTGTTTCAACTGTCAAACGTTATTTAGAAAGCTCAGGAGAAGGAAAGCCTGTCGTACGTACCCACACTTCTGCTCGCCATGTCCTTCCTTCCCGATGTTCCAAAGTCCCTCTTTAAATCGTTTCTTTTCTGTCTAGAGAACGTCCTTTAGCCGCGTCTTAACGACAGGGCTCTTGGCGACAAAGTTTCTCTGCGTTCTTTCATCCGGGAATGCCTTGACGGCCCCTTCGTGCACGGAGGGTGTTTTTGTTGGGAATAGAATTT